GGTCCTGAACCATCTCTTAGTTATGCTTGGCTATAGGGGCCTTAGACTATCGGGGGATTTCCCATGGCTGCACTGAGCTCCTTCTTCCTCTCTCTTTCTGCACTCATTCATGTCCCATTAATGCGATTTGTTTTTACCCTAAAAACTTCACTTCTTCCCGGAGTTTCTTGTGCTTTATCGTCCTGCAGGGTTCTCATGATCCTGGTGGAGCCTCCTGCATGGTCCTGCTAGACTGCCATTGCTAATTCCACTTGATATTATCGTTATTATTTATTAGTTGTTGTTAACTATTGTTTCTTGCTGCGGTTGCTGTTGTCGCTGCTCGCTGTCCCCCGTCGTTTTCTGCTGCGCCGTCGTCACCCGTCTTTTTCATGTCGTTCATCGATTCATTGCTGTTGATGTGGTTGTTGCTTCTGTTGTTGCTGTAATCTGTTGTCCTCTGTCTCTCTGTCTCTCTCTGTCTCTCCTCTCTGTCTCTCTCTCTCTCTCTTTCTCCCCCAAACTGGTCAAGGCAGATGACCACCCACCTAGAGCCGAAGGGTCTGGGGTCCGAGTTTCTGGGCCCGTTAAAAGGCATTTTTTTCCTTGCCCCCCGTCGCCAAGTGCTTGCTCATGGTGGTTACTGTGGGTCTCTTGTTAATGTTATAAGGAGTTCGGTCTAGACCTGCTCTTATTGAAAAGTGTCCTTGAGATAACTTCTGTTATGGAAATTTGGCGCTTATACAAATAAAATTGAATTTGAAATTGAATTTGAATTGAATATAAATTGGGGTTGGTGACTGACATTGCTGAGATCTTATAAAATTGTCAGTGTAGTCTTTAGATTCCATTTGTTAACTGTGCATTAAATGGTCTGTCTGTGCCGTAACGCCTAATTTTGATGTCTCATTCCGTTCATTGCAGCTTTAATTTGAATTGTTTTAGCCCTCACTCAGATTATGTAAACCTGAGGTCGTGTATTTGTTTGAAACTTCAATTGGTCTGTAGAAATCTGTGAGCTTGTGACACTTTAAAGCAGGTTGACAGATGCAATGCTTCCTTGTCACTTAAGAGCTTTCCATCCACATGCAGCAAACTTTTGGCATTAAATCTATTTTTTTAAATGCTGCAGACGGTCACATCTTACACTCATTACAGCCTGTTTATAATGATCAAATTTGTTTTGTTGGGTTGTTAATTGTACGTGCAACAAACACTTATAACTTTCTTACTTCTTTTAATGGCATAGTTAGAAGATTTATTTTCTGTAAAAGAAATTAAATTCTACTTGATTTGAACTGTTATTGAATTTCTCCACTTGAGGCTCCAAAAAAAATGTTAATATCAGTGAAAGAAATGTAGTCGATTATAGTACAAAATTGTTCTTTTAATAGAAAACCATTTTGACTCAACTCAAGTTCACAACGTCAAGCTGGTTTTACATAAATTGTTGAAGAAAAGTCTTGTTTTCTTGAATGGCTCCTCCCATCTTGTGCAAAATGCTGCTGGTCTCATTTGAATGAAGAAAAAAAAATCTACAGTGGGTTCTGCACAACAAACCAGATCTCTGCACGCTGGATAAAGCTTTTAAAGAGCGAGGTCACAAAGAAATCCAACTCCTCCCATCAAACCTCAGTTCCTGCACTCGATCAATGCCAGTCGGTTCAATATGGAACAATAAGCTAAAAAACAATGCAGCACCTGCACATTGTGCTTTCTGAGAACATTTCAAGGCAGTGATACCAGGTCAGATGGTGATTCAGAGTCTGCTTTACAGAAATCTATTTTTTTAACAACAAAAACCAAGACATTTTCACAGGAGAGAAGAAACAAGAGTGGAGAAATCTGCAGCGAATCCATCCCCTTTGGTCTAACAAACTATAAAATAGGTTCTGATGCCGTTTTTTCTCGCGATACAGATTCCTGAAGTTACCGGGTACCAATCTTAATTTCTATCATTATTGTCTGGCCTGGCTCAGGTTAGAGTAGGCGATGACTCTATCCTAGTAGCAGGGTCCTGTTTTGTGGCTAATAAATTACATGGTAACAGGTCGATACTAACCGATAAACTCTGCTATAAAATGTCCCGGGTGGAGTTCAGCTACATTATTAGTCTTATGTACATGACTGCAGGCGTAGCAACAGGAGAAATAAACCAAAACCAGAGAAAGTTCTTCAGTTCATGTTGATAGCTTCACCTGTGTGCAGTTCCAGGCTCCGCCTCCTCTGAATGTGAGCTGCAGCTATTTAGCAAATTAATCATTTAGATGATAAATTAAGGGGAAAACGCGGCAGTTCCCAGAGCCCTTGTGAGACCAGCAGTCCCCAAAACCCCCAAAAGCTAAAACAAAAAGCAGCAATTCCTCACGCCAAAAAAACTGAAACCACCACCTGGAGAAACAGTTCAGATCTGTGACGGTTCAGACTGCTCAAAGGACTGTTTCAGTACGAGTGAGAAATCAAAAGATCTCCACTTCTAGACTTCAGTCTCAGAGATAACTCTAAATGAGTAGCACACAAAGATAATTGTGGATTTCAAAAGGTGAAGTGGGACACGGTTTAATGTCTGTTTGTAAAAGTGTAGAAAAAACAAGTCTGTTTAAACAAAAGAAGCATCAACGATGCGTCTTGGCGTTGGTGTGCTGGCAGTAGAGGTCGCTGTGAGAGAGGAGATCCAGATGAGCTTCTAAGGAGTAAAAAGATGTAGCACCAGCAGCAGGAACTGCACCGGAGGACAGCGTCTGGGTCCCAGGTGAGTCCTCCTGAGTCCTCTGCATGTGTAAACAGAAACTCAGACACCCGACACCTGATTCAGGATCCGATCACACCTGTCTGAGCGGGTTTGTGTTCGACTCAAGACTTTATAAAAATCAATGATATAATAAATATTCAGAGATATTGATGATCAGATGGAGAATGCAGTTGTGTGAGACTGTAAAGAGACCTGGACGCCCGATCAGAGACCCAGAGACCTTTTTAAAGACTTGAAGACCTGATTGGAAACCACATTACACACCTGGAAAACCAGTAGGAGTCCTGGGCAGCTTATCAGACACCTGATCAAACAATCTGTGACACTAACATGGATGTAAACACACTGGGTGATAAAGAAAACCTTTGGTGGTGTGTAGCTATATGTAGACGATGAACCCATTTACATTGTTACCGAAACTACGGAGCGAGCACAAAGCAGTGGCCAAGCTGAAGGTCAGAGCGATTCCTCCCGTTTGTTTGACTACAGCGAGCAGCTGTTTTAGTTCAATGACTGAGCCTTTTTAAGAATTAAACTGGATTTCCTCTTTTGAGTCCGTTCAGACTGGAGTTGTGCTTTCTCCGTAGTTTTGTTGTTAATAAACGTGTTGGGTTGGACGTGACAGGAAACGGTTGCAGCAGAGTGATGGACTGAGATTAAACCCGGTTACATATCAGGACACTTGACACAGAACAACAAGAACATTTTGTTTTTTTGTTCAAGTTTTTCTAAACTCCTGTCTTTAGTTATGAAATGATAAACGCCTCTCTTCTATGTAAATGTTGTTGAAGTAATCTGCCCTGTGAAACAGAATCCCTGCAGTAAACCTGTGTCTGTTCCTGTTCATAGATTCTGGCCTGAAGCCTCCATTTTACAACCACAATCCTGTTTGTGTGTCTCTGATTGATGTCAGTTTGAAACCGAACCGGAGCCACAGAGTTTCTGCTTGGTCAACCGTTCTGTCGCAGCTCCTCCACCCTCCTCTTCCTCCTCCTTCTCTTCCTCCTCCTCCTGCTGCTTCTCACGCTGCTGGTTTCCATTCTCCAGGCAGCCGTTGTTAGTCTCATCACTGCAGGGTTTATACTCTACTGGATCAAGATCTGGATCTGGATCCAGCTCCGGCTGGGACTCCACGGCCGTCTCCCAGTCCTCCTCTTCCTCTTCCTCGTCGTCGTCCTCCCTGTCTTTCTGGCGGGCCTGGTTCTGGGTGAGGCGGAGGCGGGCCATGGCCTGGTCGATGGTCATCGTGCTGACCAGGTTGAAGTCGTGCATGCTGATGAGGTGCAGCAGGAAGTTGCGAAAGAGGTTGTGTTTGACGATGTGGGCGGCGTTGCGTTCGGCGAACAGCAGGCAGGCCTCGTTCATCTGGTTGTCCGCGATGAAGCTGGAAGGACGAGAGACAGAATGATTTAAAATGATTTTTTAAAATAGTGGGAGCC